GTCATCTTTCCTTCGCTTGCTTACATTTGCTAATGTGCTCACTGCCTTCTAGCCCATGTTATTTATCAATAAAAATGTAGTTGCTGCTTCCCTTTGTCTTCTGATATTATACACCGTTCAGATTGTTATAATAACGGTTATCAAGACGATCGATTAACGAAGCACTACACTACAAACTAGCTGCATTATGTCAAACTCCATCCATGACTTGTCAGACTGTCTTAGAAAAGAAGGAGTCTGAAATCTGGCTTTCTTAGTTGCAAATGGTGTGTAAGGTGGCTGCGTTTATAAATTGGGCAATCATGTTTTTCCCACACGTATGAATTAGTTTAAGTGAAGGTACTAGAGGATTTATTCAGGATGCTAATGTATGGTTTCGACTACTGTGTCTGTAGACATTTTTAGCGATAGTAGATTCTGAAATAAGATAATGCGTGAATTGAGGATTTTGTAAAGAGATATGGCTTCACTTGTATAAATAAACAGTACCTTACCATCAAGCGAGAAATAAATACTCCCTAAATCGTCACGAAAACATGGGAAGCTCACAGTCATGAAGCTGCAACAAGAATCCTGAAGGTTCTATCACTTCTGTAAGTAAGCATAACATTGGCAAAGTGGTGATTGTAATATAAGTGACTTACATCTCTTACATGAAGGGGACAAAATCGTTGTCAGAGAGTCTTAAGACTTAAGAAAGTCTTAAGACTCCACCCATAATTATCATTTGTATCATAAGTGAATCCATCTAAAGAGTGAATTATACTATACCATCCATAAAGACACACCTCTTGATTTTTTTCATCTAATGTTAACTGCTGTGTTCAAAATCATCTGAAATTCACCTAGTGTAATGATAATTACTGAATAAGGTCCCTAACTATCATTTATTAGTGCCGAACCCAGATATCGTTAAATCCCACTAGTGGGTTCAGATGATGCTGGTTCGAGAATTGATAGCTAATTTCTACCTTGAATTCATTTGTGTATTGCGTAAAACTGTTCCTAAAAAATAGGTAGTTCTGTGGTGTAGGCTACTTATATCGGCATAGGTACTATATCTCGTGAGTAAGGAATGGAATATCTGACAGCAGAAGATTGGGAAGATCGAGAAGAGAAGAACAGAAATAGAAAGCAATTGGTGTGGAAATCCAGGAACAATGAGGCCTGAGATAGATAATAAACATTTTGCATATAGAGTATCAGAATATGGTTTTTGTATTTTTTCAAGTAACTTTATAATTTGTGCTAAATACATAATCGGTTGTCCTCATCTGTGTTCTCATTCACAACAGTTCCATGGATGTTCTGTAATTTACGCAATACAACGGGTAATAATTCTTATACTTGTCACATTCTTTCACACTCATAAATGGACACTTGTGATAAGAAGTATCAGAAATGAAATCGATATTCTAACTAATAATTCCCAGGTCTGTTCGGTACTTACTCTAGTAGTTACGAATGAACCAGGAAGCTAGTCAGACCAAGTACAGTCGACACAAATGAAGATATAGCTTACCTGTAATCCCAGCTGGGGTGTAGTATTGAGATAAGTGATCACCGTTACAAATATTACTGTTTTATGTCTTCCTCCATCTGTCAAAATACTCCATTTTCTCGTTCACTTTCTGAGGTTTGCATTGCTAGTTGCCAGATTCAACAGCTTCATACTCGACGTACTTCCTTGTATGACTTATACTTCCACCTGACGCAGCTGTGTACCACTTTGTAGTGTGGAGTACCTCTTTTGAAGTGGCTAAGATAATTTGACTGCCTTTGTTGTTTGTGATGATAGGAGTGAAGCCAAAATATTTTGGAATCCCGTACTCCTGGTTTAAAATAATAATTACGTTAGTTTAGCCAACTAACCACACATCCAGTATGATTCCCCAACCTGCTATGCATTTGCAGTTGCGTGCTTCGGGAATCGTTCACCCTGATAGCGGTTATAATACCAATCTCAACGGTGTATAGAGTCAGAAGACAAAGGGAAGCAGCAACTACATTTTTATTGACAAATAACGATGACCAGAAATCTGTGAGCAGAGAATCAAATGTTAGCGAGCGAAACATACATAACACGTATTGGAGATGGCTGGTAAGTCAACTCACTTTTATCAAGCGTTAATCAATATTTATAGTCAGACAAGAATAAATGACAGACATGTGATAAATAGGATAAGAAGGGTACACACACCTACGCTCATATAAAAATAGTCAAGATTAATAAGTAAATAATTGAAAATGAGAAAACATGACTCATAATGGACGGATAGATTGGCTTGTCCAGAAACTAAAGTAAGCTATGTAGGTGTAATATAATACACGACGTTACACTACTCCCCACACATTGACATAGGAAATACAAAATTAGATGACATAAGGTAGCAGCATTCGAAGAATTCTGGTTGAATGCTTCACACTGATATACAATGATTTGAAATTTAAAACAGGAATGTTTGTATCCCTTCTAAACACCTGATATATAGTATCAGTACCTCATGAAATCTATATAAGCACATTTGAGTTCCAGACCTTCAGTGAATTAGTTTTTTAAAGCATATAAATCCTCAGCTCTCATATGATGTGATAAGGTCCTCGACTTGAATCCGAAACATACTGATATTCTTTTCATCTCTTCTTGTCCTTCTAAACATATTTTATTCCTAAACATCCAAAATCTACAACTAAAAACAAAATACCCTATGTTACACTTAAAAAAATAAATTCTCAGATTTTTATTTTTTAATCTTCATAACATATATATAACATACAGGAATTTATATTTGATTATCCTTTGCAATTAATTGTGACTATCATAGAATCATTCTAAATTATTACTTCACTAATGGTTATACCAATACCCGGTTTCACTCTGTATACTGTTACATAAATCTACACGTATTTATCCGAGTGCAGTAAAGGTTTATTATTATTAATTATTTTTTCCTGATTTTTCTCATTTATTGTTATTATTATTCTTTTTTAAATTATTCGTTTATCTCAAAAGTCTAAAACCATTACACTATTATGATCATGATTGGACCCTTTCACTATGTGTTTATTTCTTTTCTCTCCTTCTACATAAATGTTATTCTTAAGATTAGGAAGCTTTGGATTAAGATAATAACTTGTGTTACGCAGAATTCAACTTATCAGACTCGTTTTATCTTCACTATGCATATACACCTCATATATATTGAGTATCTTTTGCATTTAGTTGAGACTTTCATAGCATCACCCAAAACTATGACTGCACGAACAAACACTTATTCTAACGTCATATCTTACCGCAATAATAAGTTATTTACTTATTAATTTACTGTTTTTTTAAATTTTTTATTACTCGTTTTGCTATGCATACATAGTTGTTTATTCTTGTTCTGTGTCAAACTATTTACGTAATCTGCGTCTCCTTTATTTCTATTTCCTTAGTTTCTTCCTTCAAAATCTATTCAAAATTCTTGCCAATTACGCAGAACATGATTTATTATTACTATTCTATTATTAATATTTTATTTTTCTTTCCTTTCTCAAACATGGCAAATGTAATGCTAACATTATTGAAAATTGTGTATTATTGCAATTCTGAAGAAACCCGAAATGGTTTCTTCACAGCACTTATGTACCCATAAGATGTTTGTGAATAATAATAATAAATGTAGTTTGGGAACTTAATGAAACTGGTTTATATGTGTCTAGAAATATATCTCTATGCCACTTAAGTTATCATCATAACCAAATGGAACATTGATAAGGCTCTTTCTAATGGTATCAATGATATGAATGTTTCCGAATGACTCTGACTTTTCACTAACTCAGCTTTCTTCTAGAATCAGTAGAAAAGTATACTCATTGACTTTCAACATGAAGTAGTGTAAATTTCGCAAATGATTGGTATATAGCTACGGCTTATTAGTTTAGGTGATTTTATCAGTCAATCTTGGCAGCCATATAAGGTTACTAGGCGAAAACACAAACCAGAAACTGTTACTCCAAATTTAGGGATAAGATTGTATTTATACATTGGAACCCTTATATAAATTCACTTGTAGCGGTAACTGATTTTAATCGCGGTAACTGATTTGTCAAAATAAATAGTCCCGTATGTCTTCAGCACTGACCTCCCTAGTTTTACTGGATATATTCCAGCTGAGGGCATTCAGTCAAGCAACCGAACCAGATCGAGTGGGTACGCCGTAATACGCAACTCCTACAACCGTTAGCCAGCTTAGATCAAACGCTTCTCGAGATATCGACACCTTTCCGAATATAAACTCAAACCTCTTCACCTCTGACTGGGTTAGTATACTTCGATTATAAAGGTGCTACGTGTAAATGAGTTGTCAAACTCTGAATACCTGCGGCGTCTTAACACTATCATTTAGACACCCTCATCTTAGCTGGTATGGGTCTGGTTGATATACGTTTGACCTGAGTTAATACCTTTGTAGTATACCAACCCTAATATATTCTCGTATTTGGCTTTTGAACATCTTGAATGGGAAGAAACCTAGTTCAATATCCAGAATCGGTCTAAAAAATATATTAAGTTGACCAGGGTCACCTATAGTGAGAGTTCAGAAATATTAACTTACAAGATACACAGTAGTTAATTGGGTTCTGCGTTATTTATAATATCTAATAAAAGTGACTAAACAAATTAAAAGGATCTACCTTAAGTTATCATTTTCAAAATAAGTAGCTGTTAGTAAGATGTTTATAAGTCGAGTAAAAATATAAAACTAATTCGTGAGAACTATAACTATCTTTTACTTAAAATTTAACTAACTACTTAGTATGAAAATTTTTTTAAGAAATATATCCTGTAGTGATACAGTAAATTATTAAAAGATTGCAAATAATCAACAATGTAAACTGCATGATAAAATAGATATATTTACACATTATCGAAGAAAGTTTGCACATTAATAAGAAAACAAACTAATACAATACGAGAAACAGGCATACACAATAATATCCGGCCTGAATGACAATTAATCACTTAGGTCACTTAAGTCAGTTTCTTCATCAGAATGATGAGATGTTTTAGAACGATTATAGTTATCATTAGATTGGAAACGTTTTTTAGTTTCACCGATTTGTGTTTCTTCGACCTCTTCATCTTCTTCCTCGACTTCCGCTTCCTCCTCTGCTTCTTCTCCAGCCTCAGTGTTTTGACCATCGCTAATTCCATCCTCTGCCTCTTCTTCGTCGTCACTACCTAAAGCCGAGAAAATTTTCGTATACAGGGTTTTACTTCCACAAAAATGTGTCTTAAGAAAATAGTAACTTGAGAAATTTATCAGGTTAACTCGCTAATAGAAACGATAATTCATCTAGCTTTTCTTAGACAATAGATAAAGAAAATGGGCAAAGGTTTTCTATTACACCCTGTAAACATCACTGCATAGAAAGACTACAAAATCAAGAGACTAGAGACGGTATCGGTTGTTTGTATGCAAAAACTAGCATATCTCTATTCTAACTGGACATATATTTCACAAACACCAACTACAATCGATGTAGCTTGATGCGTTTTTTAGTTGGCTGTAAAACTGGATGACTGCATTGCGCGATTTCAAAAAACAAGATGCCGAAATATGAATTAATCGTCATAGGTAAATTATTTATGACTCCTATTACAAGATCAGTCACTTTTGAGTATGCTGAATTGATATAATAGTTGGTATGAGCAATTACCAAGGTTTATTTGAAGGAAATATTTATAACAGCACATAAGCTTTACAACTTTTCCAAAGAAAACATGATGCCGACATATCTCATTCTATAATTCTAGTAAAAGCTGAGCCCCATTTTGTGAATACAGTTTATGATTTATCTGATACTAGTCTTAATTAGCACCACTCACTCGATTAGCCTACAGGTAATTAAAGAAATCATCTTATCGAATGAACATTATCTTCAAAAACTGATGAATTATTTAACAGATAATATCCGAGTTTTTATGTTGTATATACTACATATGGAGCCTAAACACATTCAGTCTAAAGAGGTCAGTTGGATGACTTAGATGGCAACTGAGAGTGGTAGAACTAAAGTACACTAACGACCTTCATAAATCTTAAAACTGACTACTAGACTGAAAGTAGCGTCTGAAATCAAGATTAGAAGTTAAAATAGGAGACCGTAGTTAGAGTTTACATCATGAATTGGGATTACCTATAATGCAAGGATGCTTTGTAGCCATATGGATGGGTGAATAACCCGTAAAAACAGGAAAAGAGTTATCTTAAATCCAACCAGATCGTCAATATACTTTAGTTCCATACTGGTTTCTTTTTGGAGCAATAATGAAGTCAAAATTCTATCACTTGGATCTATTTCCTAATTGCTTTTGATTAAGAAAGTAAATGAGTAATTGATTAGTGTGAAATTTTTAAAGGTTTGGTGTCTATCAAATTAACAAACAAACAAAACTAAAACAGTTTATAACAAATACGAATTCATTAATCTTTTAAGAAAGTAAGTGTGAGTAATATACTAGTGAAATGAACATGTACTTTGCCTTCAACTATTTTTGTAAGGATAGTAATAATAAATATTGGGTTATTAGCTTTATGAACTAAACTAGTTGTCGTTGGTGGTATCAATTTACTATTATCACAAATTTTATTAATAGGTATGTTGCAAACAATGCACTGAACGGTGTTAAGGCTGAAACTAGTTACGAAACAATTTGTAAAACATATATAGCAAAGGAACTACCAAACTGATGGGATATACAGACGCAATTGTTTGGAGAATCACAAAATTGCCAGAAAAATGAAGAACGCATGGAATTTCTCACAATATTGAAGAGTTCAAGTTAATACGATTTACAACTGAGTAATTCGTCGATTCAAAAAAATAATAAAGGACTAATAGATGTATACATAAAAGACAAAGGAATATGATAACAAATAGTCCGGACCTTCTAAAATAAGGGGCGATTTCGAGTTATATCATTCATGGTCTCCAACCATTGATTAACGGGATATTTAGGATCCGAATAATGAAACAGTTGTTTTCGTTGATATGATCAATATCCGTTAAATAAATGGGTTTGGGCATCTTTAAGTACTTTTTTAACCAGCTTTAAAGCCTATACTAGTTTGCCTCAGTGAGCTGAAGTAATATACTTCATTTGTGATCACGGCAAATATTAGTATGGTCAAAATGATTAATGTAACAAATAAAACAGAATCGAGGAAATTTTCAAATAGATTCCATTTCATTTAACAGAACTGTATACAAATCAGTCAGTCAGTCAGCGACAACGTAGGACCAGGCACACATATGCATCGGTCCAAGTTGCCATACCTCGTTAGCATAACAAGATGAACACCGGATTCATAGAAGTAATTAATTTAGTGGTGGTAGTATATAAAGAAGGGTTGTATATAAGGATATAGTATAGGAAGGAAGAGAGATATGAAGCAATTTTAGTCTCAAGGTTTAAAGGAAGATAAAGAGTGTATACACCTACGCCATTGTGATCGATTCTGAGCCATGTCACCTAGAGTCTCCAACCATTGGTTACGATAGTTACGCGGACCCCAACCAGGTAGTCTGCATCTGCCAACATGGCTCAGACTAGAAGTTAGTGACTTCAGACACTGATGCCATGTTTTGGTTTGGCCGCCCCTAACTCTCTTCCAACCATCCCCTACACTAGTCATCATAGCGCGTCGTAGTAATCGGTGTTCAGGCATACGTAACACATGGCCCAACCATCTCAGTCGATGAAGATTCATCACCTCATCAACTGATTTACCATCGTTCCCTAATACCCTGCGTCTAACCTCACTATTACTTACCCGGTGATCCCAGCAGATGCGAGCACTATTTCTAAGACATCTGTGGTCAAATACTAGTAACCTACGAGTATCTTCTACTCTTAATGGCCATGTTTCACAGCCGTAAAGTAGAACAGAGCGAACTGCTGCGCAGTATACTCGTCCCTTAATTGATAGACGGATATCTCGTCTTCGCCATAGGTGACGTAAGTTGGCAAATGCCAAACGAGCTTTTTGAATCCGTGCTGAGATTTCGTCAGACACCAACCCATTAGGGCTGATCAGACTTCCAAGATAAGTGAAGTTGTCGATGCGTTCGACTACTTCACTCCCTATCCTTAGTTCAGGTGTTGAAGCAGGCCAGTCCTGGAGTAACAATTTACATTTGGATGGGGAGAAACGCATCCCAAACATCCTGGCATTAGTACTCAGTTCTAACAGACTGTATACAAATATTGATTCACAAATCATCATTAAGGTAAATTACTTTTTAATTCATAGGTATATACTATTTTGGTGATTGAGAGGAAAGTGAAACTTTACTCATGCTTGACAGTGGTTAATAAGTTTCACAGAAATTTGTCCCATTACAATAGATAGTTCAGTGTATAATACTGAAAATATGCGAGTATATATGATACACTAGAAAAACTTGAAATTACCGTTATAATTAGTCTTACGATTGGCCTCTCTTTCATTGTTCATTGTTTCTTCATCAGCATCATTTTCATCACCATCTGCATTTTCTTCATCATCTTCGTCACCTTCAACATCATGTTCAAGCATATATAAACGGTCAGTTTGAGCCTTCAATTCTTCATCTGTGAAATCTCGATGATGAACAATCAAACGAGTTTTGGGGGCTTGTAGAGCGCCAACATTAGTACCAGACTGGTTTAATTTACGTCGTTTACTGAGACGGACTCTGGTCTCTAATTCGTTATAGTAAACTCCTGTAAAGAAGTCAAGAAAGCGAATATCAGTATACGCGTTTTCCTAGATTCTAATAGATTCAATGACAATACATTTATCAGAACAAAAGTAAATTAATAATCCCTAAGTAGTATGTATCTCAAAGCGGTGGATTAGTTGACAAATAATTATGTCATAGTCTATCTACTATATTTTTAACAAGCCAATCTCATAATTAGCTTTCTTATACAATTTGTGATATTAAAAAACTATACAAAAATGTACTTGGTTACTGAGTTGTATTCATGTAAATCTTGGCACTCTAACCCAGCCAAACAAAGTAGATCACAACACTCTATGAGTCTAAATCACTTTCCGAAAACGATAAAACTTATTAACCGAATTTGTCAAACAATACACAAATGAATTCAGTAACGTGTGAAAAGTTGAAACTAGATTTAACAAATTTAAAAGAGAATACTGTTCGACATGACAGAGGATGCTCATAGACCAAAATATGCCACCTTGATATATGGATATGTATTCATCTACATAACTACGCATGTAACTGTTCTAAGGTTACTAACGTTCTCAAGGCCAGGTAAAAGAAGAAGGTTGGGTTTGAATTCAGCAACCCCTTTCCATAGAAAACAACACTTCTAAGAAACACTAACCAGAATAAAAAAATTAAATTCTGTCCTGTGAGTAGACGGATATTGATTCAGAAGAATTGTGGCACCTCATTCTGAAGGTCGAGATTCTTCGGAATCATGAGACCGATTCCCCTTCTAACAACTAGAACAACAATTAATATCGGTACACCGAACGTTTGGACAACGTGAGAGACAAGGAGGACCAACCAAACGGCTACGAAAATGAGGAGATACAACTTCGTGGTGCTTGGAATAAGTAAGACACATTGGACCCAAGCTAGACAGAAAAGATTAGATCTGAAAGAGATGCCGTTGAACTCTGGTCATGAAGAATAAAATGCTACACACACACAAGCAGGCAGTTGCACTGATGCTGTCCAAGAAAGCACGAAAAGCACTTATAAGGTGGTAATCATATGGATCCAGGATCATCAAAGCACCCTTCAAAACAAAGAAGGAAGGGATCACAATGAATGTTATCCAGTGTTATACGCACCAATGATAGCAATGCAAAAGATAAAGACCAGTTTCATGAGAGGATGCAATCGACTATAGAGAAGTGACCAGGAAACAACCTGACCATCCTGATGGGAGATCTCAAGACCAAAATTGGAGTGGACAACACCGGATATGAAAATATCATGGGAGGACATGGACTAGGAAAGAGAAACGAAAATGGTGAGAGATTCGCAAACCTATATACATTTAACAAATCGATTATATGCGGCTCAATATTTCCACACAAACGCATACACAAAGCTACATGGATCTCACAGGACCACACCACGGAGAACCATATAGATCATATTTGTATCAATAAAAAGTTTAGAATGTCAATGGAAGACGTGAGAAGCAGGAGAGAAACTGATATAGCTTCAGATCACCACCAACTGGTGGTTGCTAAGATGAAACTGAAGTTAGAGAAGTACTGGATAACCGGGGAAACGGCATTACAAAAGTTCAATACAGTTTTACTTCCAGATACTAAAAAAACTCAACGAATCCACAATCACTCTCGACAACAGATTCCAAGTCTTACGAGATCTACTCACAGAAGGAGAAACTACTGTGGGAGATAAATGGAAAGGGATCAAAGAAGCATTAACTCCAACGTGTCAGGAGGTGCTGGGCTGCAAGAAGCATCATCATAAGGGATGAATCTCTATCGAAACCCTGGACAAGATTCAAGAAAGGAAGAAAAAGAAGACAGTAATTAAAAACAACCGAACACGAGCAGAGAAAGGTACACTGTGGTGTAACTGAGAAGATTGTCATCATATGGAATTCACACGACGGAATACACTGAGAAGTCGTGAATGGATGACAGATCACAGATGCATTCCAGGTGAGGACCAGTGTCTGACAAGGTTGCTTACTCTGGCCTTTTCTCTTCCTTCTATTGGTCGACTGGGTTATGTCAACCTCTGCATCTCAGGGGAAGTACGGAATACAATGGACAACTTGGACGCAACTAGACAATTCGGACTTCACAGATCACTAGCTCCTCTATCCCGTACACATCAACAAATGCAGGTGAAAACAGCCAGTGTAGTAGCGGCCTCTGCAGCAATAGGTCACAACGTACACAAGGGAAGAAGCGCAATCTTATTCAGACAGTAACTAGAAAGAATACGACTGTCAAATACATATGAAGTCATACCATCTTTACGAAAACAGAAAAAATAATTTTCTTCATAATTGGCCATAGTTTTATTTTTGACATTCCAATTGTACTCTCGTGTAAGTTCATATTCATAGGCAGCATCTTCAGTATATGGTGTTTGATTTTCAGCATCCAAACGACGTAATTGTTTAGTCTGTTCAGTTGGTAGGAAGTAAGCAACGAAATGGTCGCCAGATTCATCTACCATACCACTACAATTAACAAAAAATAATTGTGGAATGGTCAAGTGGATTATAAGTCAAGCTTACGTATAAATTTCAAACAAATCATCCATAACATCAACCACAACAACCTAACAAATTTATTAACTGGGTCAACTATGATAAGCAGATTGGGGATAACAAAAATATTGTATGACTAACTAGATTTTGACTAAATAAAAAAAATACGATAAGTGTATGTAAATAAAAACATGTTTACTTAAATATCTTTCATGCTCATAATGTTAGTTGATCATTTTCTATAAAATAAGCAATACTTGCTTTTGTTTATTTATTTAAACACAAACAATGGTACAAGGAGGCACCAAATAGACATGCACCACATAAATCATCCGATTTGCGTGAGGGCTGGGATATTTCCCGGTTGCCCAGACCGAAGCAGGTGGTTTTTTTAGGGGGCTACTCCACGAGACTTTGACCTGAAGGTCTAATCCATGAGGCAGTGGAGAATCGTGAGGAGATACAGTCCCATGGTAGCCAGTGACCAACAATAGGTTCATACGCCATTCGTTCCATCAGGATTCCGGAGCACATGTGAACCACTGGGTTTGGAATCAGGGTTTTTCAACTCCCCTAGGTGGATCCTCTGTATCTACCAACCCGGTTAAGGCACTGAACATTCGATTTTCGTTCTCTCATTTTCGTAAACAACACGCCCGCCGAGAAAAGGCGTGAGTAGGACTTCCCTGGCAGTGGTTGTGTGCACATGGCTATGTGAGAGCATTTCGAGAAAGAGCTAACTCTCCCCACTCTCGGATGTACTAGGGCATTTGGGGGATGTTCTGTCAGTCATCCATCGTCAATTTTGAATCTAGCAAGAATGGGCATCCATCCAAAATGTCACACCATATATCAGTAAAGCCAAAAAGGTAGTTGATGAGAAGCAAAAAAGAAAAACTAATACCAATTACGCTGAACATCTAAACATAAGAAATGTCCTAAAAAGCGACAGATAAGATTGAAGAATGAAAAGAATGGAATAGTAGCAAACCCAAGATTTAGAGGGAGAAATAATAGTTTCTAACCATTGCCCATGATTACCTTATAGATCGCAATCAAGAATTCGGAACATATTGAGACAGAAATTTAAAACCATTCTAACGATTCATCCTAAGCGTGTCGACAACGAAGCTGCGGTTAAAAGATCAGTCACAACATGGAAACAAGGGAAAAAGAAACTAACCGAATCATTGCTTGATTCACCTCCTCCTTTTGTTCGGTGGTAGTTTTATTTTTACGAGAAGGATCATCATCAAAAATAACCTGGAAAGATGAATCAAAATATATGGAGTTACTGTCGAGGCACTTTGTATAGATCGATATCTTAAGCTAGGGAAAAATACTTATTTTCCAATACTTGCTCTATTCTGTTCGAAGTTCTAGACTACGAGAAAGTTTGTGCATAATCGCGCGCTTTTGGTGCCAGAAAGATTAACTTTGTTTAAGTTGTCATGGAAATAGCTTCTAGAAACTTTTATTTTGATCTGCTAGACACCTAGATTGGGTTAAAATTTGGGTACAATAACGTAAAACAAGGAGGTAAAGTTTCGCCAAGAAACTTGTATTACGTATAGTTCCAATATTTATAGAGAAATTCCCGAGGAATGAATAATAAACGATTATTGACCAAAGTTGCAATTAATGAAGATTACTAAAAATTCATTGTTTGTTGTATAAAACTGAAAATGTCTTCATACATGTTTTAGACTATCAAGTTAATGAAAAAGTAGAAAAATATTTTAATAAAATTGATCTAACTTGGTAAGCAAAGCTACAAATACACTATTAATTTTAAGTCGACAAACCCTTTAAGCATTCAAAGTCATAATGAAAAGAAACAAGGAAATATTAATATAAGTCACATAATGCAATCTGTTTACACAAACCGTATATTTTTCGTAGCACAATTATTAGAGAAATGAGAATGCTTGAGCACTGAGCTAGCCAACCCCTTCTAGTTCAGTCAAAGAATGAACTTTATTTTTGAAGTAGAACGCAGTCACATGTTTATGCGACAGCTTAAAAAAGTACATTTTTAAGTGGCAACCTTTGTCCGATGAGCAGTAACAAAACGATACTTAGTAAGCGTGATGAACCCAAAAGCTTATTACATTTCAATAGTCTCTAACAGCTATTTAACAGCCAACTTGGCTATTTTTAAGCATTTAATGAAGATAAGTAAAGAAAGAATATTTAAATCATTCAATAGGTACTTAGGTATGAGTATAAAGTCTAATGAAGCTATTCAGTTGAATAAACCGAAGCAAGCACTTGAGAATTGGATAGTGGACGTCCTAGTTAATAAGCTACCGCTCTACACATTCAGTGATAAACTGCGCAGCAGTTCGCTCTGTTCTACTTTACGGCTGTGAAACATGGCCATTAAGAGTAGAAGATACTCGTAGGTTACTAGTATTTGACCACAGATGTCTTAGAAATAGTGCTCGCATCTGCTGGGATCACCGGGTAAGTAATAGTGAGGTTAGACGCAGGGTATTAGGGAACGATGGTAAATCAGTTGATGAGGTGATGAATCTTCATCGACTGAGATGGTTGGGCCATGTGTTACGTATGCCTGAACACCGATTACTACGACGCGCTATGATGACTAGTGTAGGGGATGGTTGGAAGAGAGTTAGGGGCGGCCAAACCAAAACATGGCATCAGTGTTTGAAGTCACTAACTTCTAGTCTGAGCCATGTTGGCAGATGCAGACTACCTGGTTGGGGTCCGCGTAACTATCGTAACCAATGGTTGGAGACTCTAGGTGACATGGCTCAGAATCGATCACAATGGCGTAGGTGTATACACTCTTTATCTTCCTTTAAACCTTGAGACTAAAATTGCTTCATATCTCTCTTCCTTCCTGTACTATATCCTTATATACAACCTATAATTTATATATTACTACCACCACTAAATTAATTACTTCTATGAACCCGGTGTTCATCTTGTTGTGCTAACGAGGTATGGCAACTTGGACTGATGCATAAACGTGCCTGGTCCTACGTTGTAGCTGACTGACTGACTGAAAATAGGATTTACTTCTGAAACGACAAGGTTTGAGCCTCGTAAGAGTCCTTTACACATGTTTCTAAAAAGATTGCCCTTTTTACTTTACGTTTATAGGCCGGTAAATAATGTATGAAGGCTGGCTGGTAACGGAAGAAAACAAATAGGAAATATGGTGTTTTACAAAAGTAGGTTGGCCAATAATAAAACAACTTAGTGACGATAAACGAGCGACCATGTCAAAAGCTTGCGTTGCTGTGACAATCTGGTTACTGATGAAACAAAACTGATATTGTTAGAGAATTTAGCTGACTAGTTCGGAGCTTGTCAATCCTTTATTTCAGGTAGCGAGATGCAATTAACAAGATCCGGGTCTACAAGGTCGTAGGACTATATCTTTAATTTCTCACGTAACTAGAAGTTGCATGACTGTAACGCCACTTACATTTGAAAATAAACTATGACATTGCGCACTAGTTGTAGAGTAAGATTTAGATTGTTATTTTCATACACTAAACCTACTTGAAAAGTCAGCGCAACTGACCTGTGCACATGGATATCTCCATAATGTGAAGTCCGGTAATACTGGAAGTACCTCCAAAGCGTGGACGTTTGGTTTACTATAATGCTTATGAATAGGCTTTTCAGCTGCTTTGAACGTTTCCTCAATGGCGTTGATCTGGCTTTCGCGATCACGATACACGATCTCTTCATTGAGATGGCGTTTAACATTGTACCCAAGTCTTTGAAAGTAAAGACAAGTGAAAACACTCACCTGGACTCCACCTTTTCAGATTTGTTCCAACGATTGTAAAGCTCAGTAGATATATATTCTGTTTTCCTCAGCCAGGACACTGACTTTTGATGTCTAGATTTACGTGCATTGACAAAAGTAGGAGCCTCATCTTCCAAGAGTCGTTCATCATCCGGATGAAGAGTCGCTATTTTGTAGCACTTAAAAGTTCAATAAAAATATACCTCTTTTGTCAATTCGAAAAACATCAGGATCAATTAAGTCAACCTCAACTCCCACATCTGTTTCCGTGAGTAATTCATGCTTATAATTCCTTTCCAGAGAGGTAGCCACATATTGAAGGAATCTAACACCAATATTTAAAGACCAAAAGCAGTTTAACCTGGAAGGTTCGAGAGGATATATTAAGAATTTAGGGTCGAAAGGGAGCTCTGGCAAATTATTCTGATACTTCAGGCGACATAAAAGAGATTCAGTTCTGTAGTGAAAATTGGAATATATTATTTATTTTATAAAGCATCATTGTACTTGAACTCCTTCCCACGATCTTGTGAAGAATCAAGTGGATCATTAGCTTTCTCAGAACTCTGAAATAATGTCATTTTGCGCGCTAAACCCAAGGCCGGAAAGTAAACTATGTGGGTACTAATTATTCCAGTATGAATGGATCTCGGTGAAATTATTGAACTTCCATTCAATTTATTCCTCTTGTGTCGACTGTCTAGCTGTTTTTTACACTATTTTCTAATCTCTGAGAGGATGATAAATTTGATTATACAGATGTTAACGAAAATAGTTCAGATGGTTCGGAGTGGAATCGGAAAAACTTCCGCTTGTCAGGCTTCCATATCTAGCAGCAGGGGATCACTAACCTCTACATGTGAGAACAGATATATATTAGTAAATTATCGTGAAATTATAGAGTCACGTTTTCGATTGTAGGACTCATGAAAAGTTGCTTTAAGCACCTCGACTGGCAATGAATTCCAGAATTTGACTACTTACAAAGAGTAAATAGAGTGCGTGTTGTCCATTCTGTTATTTTGGGACTCTAACTTCTGCGCAATATCCCTATGGTTTGCGTTGAAACTGAGTCTAAGCATGTGTTTGATCGGATGGTCGGGAGTGTTTTGGGTTGTAGCTGTAAATAATTCCCCAAAATCAATAGCTCATTAAGTGTTCGACATTGGATGCTGACCACGTTGTTTAAGTAGACTTGTTTAACTGAAGGCTTTCGGCCATGCATCCGTACCAGACCACGTTTCGAACCAGCGTGGGACACAGCTCCTATGTTCACTAGTCAGCTTATAACAAACGCTTCGCGATATATTGATAACGTATCAAATATATCCTTCCGATCTCTTCGCATCTGACTTCTGATTTCATTTGGTTGGGGAAAGCTTCGTATATAGAAGTGCTAGTCGTACTAGTCGTATCTTCAGTAGTGAGCACGACGTGATCGGCACACCAAGCCAATAAACTGTGGGTCCGTTCCATTTTGGAATATCATTATTCATTATTATTCTTTATTTGATTTTTATATATTGTGATATACTTTTTTTCTCGAGTTTTTCCGGATATATTTTAATTAAATGTTTTTCGTTCTTTATATTATTATGACGGAACAGTCACCTAAGGTTTTTAAGTTTAAATCTATTCCCCTAACTTCGATTCATTTAACGCCTTTTTGGCCTGACAATATCGAGTCCTGGTTTTGCTACGCAGAAGCTGACTTTTGCGGGCACGGAATCACGGACTCGCGCGCACGATTCCTCGCGGTAGTTAAGGCGTTACCGCGCGAATTTTACAGGTATGTAACACCTAGTACGTTTACTAGTGTTGTTCCGGAACCTTACGAAACTCTCAAACGGTCGATTCTAAAACGTGGAGATCTAACTGAACAACAACGGTTAGACCAACTCCTTAACAGTATCGACCTGCAACATGCCTCTCGACTACGAGAGACAGATAATCCCGACTGGTGCTGGTATCATAACGAGTATGGTAAGTCTCCTAGAAATTGCAGGAAGCCCTGCAATTACCCGATCTTCAAGGCGACCGACACGAATAAGAATTCGGGAAACTTCCAAGCCGGCGCACGTTAACGGCAATCGTAGCCGGCGAACATAGCCACTTCTTATATGTCACTGATGTGACCACGAGAGTTCGCTACCTCGTCGACACCGTCGCAGAAGTTAGCGTTCTTCCAGCAAATAACAACGACAGACTTCACGAGTCTGTTTTAAGTTTACAGGCGGCAAACCGAAAACCGATCGCTACATACGGTAAAAGGTACGTTTACCTTTACGTGGGTTTACACAAACCCATTCACTGGATTTTCGTTGTTGCAGATGTTTCTATGCCGATCATTGGTATAGACCTGCTACAATACCACAATCTACTCATCGACACACTCTCACGTAGGTTAATAGACGCAAACACTAAGTTCTGTTTGTGTAACTCCTTTTTCTGGTTGCGGATTATCCCCAGTCACAATTAAGCACCCCATAGACCCCCTATATCAATCATTACTCAACAAATACTCCGGGATATATCAACTACAACCGAAATTGCCTTGTGTAACCAGCAATGTTACACATCACATCTCAACTACAGGACCACCTGTATTCTCAAAAGCACGACGACTGGCTCCCGAAAAGCTTAAGTTGGCTAAAAATGAATTCGAACACATGACAGACTTAGGGATAATTCGACCATCAAATTGTCCATGGTCATATCCTTTGCACATGGTCCCTAAAAAGGACAGCAATGATTGGCGTCCAACTGGTGATTATCGGCGTCTGAATGCTAAAACCATTCCCGACCGTTACCCATTGCCTCACATTCACGATTTGACAGCTACCTTGAAAGGTACAGTTGTCTTTTGGAAAATCAAATTGGTTTTAACTTACAACCGAATTCCTATGGCAACCGACGACATCCCGAAAACTGCCATCATCACTCCTTTCGGCCTTTATGAATTTTGACGAATGCCTTTCAGCCTAAGAAATGCGGCTCAAACCTTCCAAAGATTTATAGACAACGTCTTCCGAGGTCTCAACTTCGCACATGCGTGTGTTGGTGACTATCTCATAGCAAGTTCGGACAGAGAATCACATCTCCAGCATCTGGACATTGTTTTCGAACGACTCCAAAGGCATGGCATTACTGTAAACATTCAGAAATGCCAAATCGGAACAAACTCTTTAGACTTCTTAGGACACACCATTGATGCTCAAGGCATCCGACCCCTTAGAATCAAAGTGGCGGCCATTCTGGATCACCCAGAAGGACAACGATCAAGCAGTTGCTAACTTTCAACGACCTTGTAAGTTTCTACAGACGGTTCATACCTAAATGCGCGTCCCTTGTGAAACCGTTAACCGGCCAACTTCGTGGAAATGCAAAATCAATTAGTTTGGACGACACGGCTCGAAAAGCATTCTCCACAGTCAGGGAACATATCGCTAAGGCAACCCTGCTTGCGCATCAGGACACTCAAGCGCCCATTAGTATCGCCGTAGAGGCATCCGACTCAGCAATCGGAGGAGTCTTACAACAGTGGGTTAAAAACTCATGGCAACCTTTAGGATTTTTCCCGATGCGGTTGCTAGACGCGGAGTCTAGGTACAGCGCTTTCGGTAGGGAACTCCTAGCTATGTATTGTGCTGTACGACATTTCCAACATTCCATCAAAGAAAGAGAATTCACGCTTTTTACCGATCACAAACCTCTTACCTTCTCCTTAAGTTCATCTTCAGACAAGCATTCACCTCGAGAGTCTCGACAACTGAACTACATTTCACAGTTTACTTCAGATATACAACACATTTCTGGAGCTAACAATGTAGTCGCAGACGCCTTGTCTCGTATTAGTTCCTTGAACAGTTTACAAGGAATCGACCTTCTTAAACTCTCTCATCTTCAACTAGAAGACATTGATCTTCAGCATGAGTTATCCTCGACAACTCTTAAGCTACGTATTAAGCAGATGAGAACAGGTAAGGAAACCTTACTATGTGACACATCTAAAGGTAGGGATCGTCCAATTGTACCAAAACATTATCGACCCAACGTCTTCAATACGTTGCACAATCTTTCTCATCCAGGTGTTCGTGCATCAATCAAGCTTATAGTCGAACGGTTTCGCTGGTCTGGTATGAATAAAGACGTGAGGGAGTGGTCACGCTCCTGTGTAAGCTGTCAGAAATCTAAGGTAATCAGACACAACAAATGTCCCTTAGGCTCTTTCAAACCCCCGACGTTCGTTTCGACCACGTTCATCTGGATTTGGTAGGACCCTTACCCGATTCAAACAGATACTCAAATCTCTTAACATGCGTAGACTGTTTCACTCGATGGCCAGAAGTAGTACCTATTAAGGACATTACTGCTGGGAAAGTGGCTCGTGCCTTTGTCGACCGATGGGTAGCAAATTTCGGTTGCCCTTCAACCATCACTACAGACCGCGGACGCCTGTTCGAATCTGGAATTTTCTGTTGTCGCTTCCGAACGACCGCCTACCACACACAAGTAAACGGGTTGGTAGAACGCTTTCACCGACAACTTAAAGCTCCGCTACCAGCTGCAAACGTTTCACAGTGGACAGACACTCTTCCACTCGTCTTACTAGGTATCCACAATGCAGTAAAGGCTGACATTGAATACACTGCATCTCAACCAGTTTATGGAACGACACTCCGACTTCCAGGAGAATTCGCGGACCAATCGTCTTCTTCATTGAACATGGATCTAAACTCTTACACGAGCAGGCTTACAAACGCAATGCGTCCAGTTAAACCTGGTTCCACTTGACCTCAATCAATTGATGATTTCGTTCAACCTGACTTACGATATAATGCACATATCCTCGTACGTCGAGACTCACATCGACGACCTCTCGAATCAGCATATGAAGGACCCTTCAAAGTTCTTCAACGTGTACCTACGTACTATGTAGTCGATAAGAACGGCACGAACGACAGCATCAGTATCGATCCCCTCAAAGTAGCGTACTTAGAATGAAACAATAACTTCGTCGAATTTCCTTCAGTACAATCGAACGATACGGCTCTTATACTTGTAGTACCCCATACGACAGCGGATACACACCTTGACACTTCGTCAACATCGAAAGATAAACTTAAGACAACGCGTTCTGGAAGAAGAGTATGATTTCCGGAACATTTAAATGACTATTGCACGCAAGATACTGGTTAACATTTTTACCTTATCCCGATTTTCCTTTGTATTATATATAATAAAAAAATTTAATATGCTTATATTTATATATTTTAAAAAAAAACGTTTTCTACTAATATGTGTATATTTCATTTTTTTTTAAATCTTTTTTCAAATCGCTTTTATTCTGTCGCAGGTGTATTAGTTTATTTATCTTTTTCTTCCCGCCTTGTGTCTTTACGCGCGTACAAGTGTATTTCAGTATGTACTTGCATTTTCTTTTATTCTTCTCCGGGACAGCTGGAAAAGACGGTAAAAAGAACGATGAATTTTACGAGGAACTGAAATTTTACCAGTACTTCATGGCTCCTTATACTAAAGAAAGACGACCAGACGCTACTGAACAAAGCAAGCTATTTCC